TCTCCCTCCCCTTCTCCACCAGCTTCTCCCCCTCCCCTCCCTCCTTCTCACCAGCTTCTCCCCTCCTCTTTCTCCACCCACCTTCTCACGTTCTCCCCTTCCATCCTTCTCCCCCTCCTCTTCTCCACCAGCCTTTCATCCTTCTCACCTCCTCTCACTAGCTCCCTTTCCACCTCCCATTCTCCCTTTTGCTCCTTACTCCACCGCTTCTCCCTCCTCCTTTCTCCACCAGCTTCTCCCCTCCTCCTTCCACCAGCTTCTCCCTCCTTGTTCGTTTTCCGTTGCCAGGAACTGTATCGCAGCTCCGCAGCAAACTAGAAAGCAAACTAGCCAAATCACGGAGCAAATGCTCGGGGAAGCCGTAAACCTGGTTTTAAGCGTCTTAAAACCCGGGTTTTAAGCTCATAAACTTCTTCTTACTGTTAGAATTAAGCTCTTAATAACTAGTTTATAGATGTTAAAACCAGCGGTGATAAGTCTAAAACCAATTTGACACCCTAAAACTAGGTATTTAAGCTTCAATTCGGTTTTAGAGCCTGAAAAACTTGGTTTAGACCTTAAAAACTGTTTTACGACCTTAAAACCAAGTTTTAGGGTCTAAAACTAGGCTTGTAAGCACATTTCGAGAGCCTTAAAACCCGGTTTTAAGGGCGAAAAACTAGGTTTTAATTAGAAACCGCCGGTTTTAAGCTCTTAAAACCTTGTTTTACCATAAACCGGGTATAGCCCTATAAAACCCTGTTTTAAGATCTTAAAACCTGGTTTTAATGTCTAAAAACTAGCTTTTACGGTCTAAAAACTACGGTATTAAGACCTTAAATCCTAGTTTAGACCTTAAAACCGGTTTAAGGTCTAAAACTATGTTTATGCCTTTTTGGTACAAAATGCTTTCCATATTCGTGTGTTTGTGTAAAATAGCACGCGCGAGCGCACGTTGTGTGTTGTGCGTTTCGTGCGGTGTGCGGTCACAGCGCGCGCTGTGTTTGCGATCGTGTCAAGGGCTAAACAAAACACAACGCGCACGCACCCACCACGCACGCACGCACACGCTGCGCGCACACACACACAAAGTAGCATGAGCGAGAAGATATTAGTCCAGGCATTTCGTGAACAAAATGCAACAGGTATGAGATCTGTCATTGAGTGTAGTTTTTTGATTACCCAGATATATGCCTCTATAAAATATCAAAGTCTTAAGGAATCCTCGGGAATCATGCGCGCCATAAAAAAAATGCCGCCATACAACTGATATTTCCCTATATCTCCGCTTCTAAATAAACATAGAATTTGATTTTAAGCTGCAAACATACATTTATGGGCCAGGAATCCAATCACACACATTCCAATAAGACTAAACCTGCGACCAAAAAAAGTCGGGGGGAAAAATGGGCAGCCAAAACCAGATGTCATGGCCATGGTGACCAGATAAAGAAATTTGAATACGGACAGGGAAACGATGCGAGGACGGACGACAGACGGGAGCGAATGAGTGTCCCCTCCTATGCGTAAGAGAATCCTTGAAGGCTAAGAAACCCGAATCCTGAATGTCCATCTAGACTGCCACACTTTGCGCCCTACAGTACAATGCGAGTGGTGACATTACTACGGACAGTTCGTCAGGCGAGCGCATTGGCAAATCTAGGGCGTGCACCTTGAATCTGTGTCCAAAATCTGCCTACCTGGCAGCCATCTGCGGCACAACTCTACACCAAAATCAGCCGCCGCTATGGAGCGGCATGACAAGTCAAGGTATGAAACATTTTTTTCCCAGATGTGTAACCAACGACTGCAGAAGGGTTCCATTTGTCAGAAGAGGTGATCGGCCGTATGGGTGGATCTGTCCGATAGATCTTACCACGACAGTGCTGATGAGGAGTACTGAAGACCAGCGTGCCTGACGAGAGGCGAGCATGACAGACCCAAAGAACTCTCATATGGCCTCTCCAGCCGCCTGTTCTTGAAGTAAACAAGCTATGCAGCAGCTCACAGTCAACTACAACACTCTCGTGAACAGAAAACAAGACCAACAATTGCCTAAACAAGTACGTGACTATGAAAGACACCATCATTTATCAGCTATCGCAGAGAAACACCCTTCAGTCAGCTCAAAGCTGCGCGCATCTCGACAGTGTGCATCAACACCAACAGTCAATGTGGACTCAGCCGAAAACTGTTGGAACCAGCTATCCCTAACACATGGATAGACAAACTGCCTGCTGACCACTACCATCAAGAGGAAGGATCAGGCCATTACCTTGGCTGCCGACAAGTCGGCAGTAAAGATTAACTGGTGAGCATACAGGGCGAATCCCCGAGCTGCTTTTCCAGCGACTGACAATTGCTGCAAAAGCTCAGAGAACTGGATCTGTGTTTCAAATATGAGCTGTGCAGTTACCCACCAGCTCTGTTTGATTCCACACTGCTGCTCCGACAGCCACAGAAACCAGTGCTAGCAGATGCTATCTGGACACTACTGACACACGATGCACCCGGAATCACAGGCCAAGTCCACTACGTGTTGGATGGTGGGGCACTAGTCCAGCGCATTCCATGGGCACGTGGCTCAACATACAAAGGTATCTGCACGCAATACACAGAGTATGTCACAAAGAAGTATGGACAGGCAACAGTCGTGTTTGATGGCTATGATGGTACATCAACAAAGGACACAACACACCAGAGACGTACGAGAGGGAATGCTGGAGCAACGGTGACGTTTGATGAAGATATGCAGGTCACAATAAAGAAAGAACAATTCCTGGCAAACAAGACAAACAAGCAGCGCTTCATCAACATGCTCAGCACCAAACTACGGGCACAGAACTGCCAGACACATCATTCTGCAGGTGATGCTGATCTCCTCATAATGCAGAAGGCAGTGGAGTCTGCAGCCACCACTGATACTGTGCTGAGCGGAGATGACACAGATCTGCTCATCCTGCTCATCTACCACACCAACCTTAAGTCATGTGACCTGTTCTTCCAACCCGAACCAAAGAAGAATGTGAAGAAACCGCGTGTCTGGAACATGAAGTCTGTCAAGCAGCAGTTAGGCCCCGATGTATCACAGCACATCTTCTTCATGCACGCTCTCCTGGGATGTGATACTACTTCCCGCGTGTATGGCATTGGCAAGGGAGCTTCCCTCAACAAATTCAAAACCAGTGCGCACTTCCGTGAACAAGCCAATGTGTTTGACAGACAGGCAGCTAGCGTCCACCGATAATGTTGTAGAAGCAGGAGAGAAAGCCCTGGCATGCCTGTACAATGGGAAGCCTGGAGAGTCACTCAACATGGTGCGACATATGCGGTTCTGCCAGAAGGTCGCCTCCAGCACTTCTCATGTGCAACCCCAAAGTCTACCGCCCACATCAGCAGCAGCGAAACACCACAGCCTTCGTGTCTACTACCAGGTCGTACAACATTGACGATATTTGAATGGTACTTGACGTCTGCCTTGATGGACCATTTCGCGGGTGCTGAAGTATGCGGTTAGTGAATGATGAAGTATTGGGTATTCTTCCATATGCATTATTTCTGTGTCCTTATTTTCCTGGTGGGGCATGTCGTCGTGCAATGTCTGACAATTGAACGACCGTGCAATGTAAAGCATATAGAGTCGTATCATATAACAGCATATATTGCGATGTATTTGTAACCGTTCATTCCATTTACCTCACCAGCCTTATAAGCAGTAACGAAATACCGCTGTTGACCCATGTTCTTGATGGTTCGATGGTTTGTTTGTGTGTTATACTTGTAACTGCCTCAGCAGACTTTGCCTTTACCGGCTCATGTACAGCTGGCTGTACAGTTATACATTCTCCGGCGGTCATATATGCGCCGTTCAGCAATATAAGTCTAACTACGCGTGACAAATGTCATCCAAATCTATCATATTGACGAAGTTGGCGATTGTGTGCACAACATCACGTTACATGAAGAACTTCAGGCAAAACAACGTCGCCGACATCTTCAACATGACGGCTGTCGACAGTTCCCTTCAACACGACGTAGGTACTGCTGTCATGACGTTCTGTAGCAGCACAAAGCAGAGCAATACGCAGAGGAATCAGTTCGATGTTACGAATAGCCACATAATGCGCATACTCTCTCGTACAACATCCTCATCCATTTCTTCATGCAATCATGGTGCTATCTCTCTGATGTTCACATATCAAGTGTTACATAGGACAGGCGTCATGGGGCACTGTACAACTTATAGTCAAAACGCCTAAGACCACACAGAAATGGAACCACTGCGAAATCCAAAGCTTCGCTCTCGCCCCCCCCCCATCTGTACAACCCCCCATCTAAGTCGCGAGTTCCTCCCACGTCCCAAATCTCTGCCCTCTGTGTCCCCCGCTAAAATTCCGGACTGTTCGCTGGCAGCTATGGATCCGTGCGCCGGCCTATGCATTCGGCGCACGGATCCATAGCTGCCAACGCTGCATACTGTCGTAGGACGTTCCCGCGGTCGCGTGCGCCTTGCCGAGGAATTGTGCGCAAGATCCGCGCTCAGCGGTTAGGATCAACACCTCCTTTCAGCAACACTTCTCTGGTATCTCGTCTCATCTGGCTGCAATTACTTAGCGCCAGTAGGGAGAGACGTGTATTTCATGAGGATGCATATACAATTAGATCCTTTATACTTTTTTGACTACTAGTGCCTGTTTATATTCATTGCTTGGTAACTTACTCTTGATAGTAGTTTGAATGAGGAATATGGAATCACCTGCTAGTTAGAACCTAGGGTTCCTTGATGTTTTGTATGCAGGAAAAATAGGAAGAGCAAGGCTAACAACATTGTGTCATGTAGAAGGACATGTCAGATTGGTGGGAACTCAATCGAATTTGGTAAGTTGTGACTGGACCCAGCAGTGTCTGAAATGGTGTGGTTTAGGGCAACCCTTCTTGAAAAATAAATAAATTCACAAAAATCTAATTCATAATAATTGAAGAGTCGACTTTGGAAAATAAGTGCAAATCATGTACAGGCATACAATGATAACAAAATTTCTAGCTTTATTCCTATAACTTATACGTACAAATAAAACATTTCCTAGTCATAGATTAATACGAAATCTAAATGAGCATTTACTCTGTGACACATGCTCTGTACTAGGTGACAATTTAATCTTGTCAATTCTAAATTAATCAGAGTAAAAAAATCTAGTCTTTCTTTGTGGGTGTCTCTTGGGCTGTAGGTGGTAAGGGGTCTGCAAGTGGCAACCGCGTCCACTTCTCACTGACCGTCCATAGACGCTCGGCTGTCTTTTTCTCATACATCTGATCCACTGCTTCCAGCACTTGGCACTGGCTAAATACACAATCAAATACGAATGCGTATAAGAATGACCACGAACGTATTTGTACCGCGAGTATCGAAATGCTCACGCTTTAGCAATACACACCAATTCATACTTTGTAATACATGCCCATAATCGCTTATGCAAAACCCTGTCTTTGGGAATTTTGATTTTTTTTAGATTATAGAATGCTAGCATGATAAATGTACCATATATAACAGTAACACCCTAGCGGGGTCAGTTGCCGCAACCCAGAAGCAAACACATCAATATTTGTGCAGCAAACTTTTCCATGAATATTCACACTAAGTGGGATAAATAAAGACTGTAAAAAAGAGTGTAAATATTATCGTAGTAACACAGTTTATTTGTTACGCTAAGCAATCAAGCGATGCTCCACGAAAAAACTTTTTTATCGATTTTCAGAGATTTTCCAATTTTTTTAATTGCTGATAAGAGATTTACCAGTATTGTGCCATGCCATCATAGGTTAGTAAGCTTTCAAACATATGACTTCCACATATTGGCAATTACATCAGTATTGGCAGTGTTCATTGTTGGGAAATATCATGTAAACGTATAGCATAATGTATAATTGTATGAATATGTACTCTTGATGATATCAGATGATATGTAGATTGTGAATGTGTAGATATGTATGATGTGTAATCTCGGAGAATGAGTTCGGCGCGGCGGCGCCGGCTGGGGAGCGATGACGTGTAGGGGGGAGTGACTTTTTACAGATGTTTATGATAATTGCTAGATTGTGTGTGGGTTCGGGTTTTCGCGACGGAGAGAGAGTGGTATGGGGAACGCAAGATAAGGAAGGCAGATTGGAAAAGAGTGTTGACGGAGAAGGTTGTAGGGAGGGTTAATGCAAGGAAAGTAGAGTGACTCAGACTGTACGGAGTGTGTATACTAAATAAACCAATGAGTGATCTACATATATTTACAGTGTTCACTGTTCAGTATCAATGATAGAGTGTGCGATAGAACATAGATGATGGAACTGGCACACGCGAGATAAAGATTTCGCAACATTCATAACATAAACATATATATATATATATCAGAAAAGAGAAGTACATATATGTTAGCACAAGTGCTTGAAGCTTACCACAAATATGTTCCAGTTTTATTTTCTATGTTTTCTGACAGGGTGGCATATTGCATTGTCTGGACGGCTTGGTATGGTGTCTTCTTGAAGAATTTAAACAGCGGGACAACCATCCACCTGTAGAGAAATGACAAAAAAGTGATATCTAAATGGACTGGCATCATACTATTAAAAATCAACTAACTGTAATGATTTCTCTCTCTAACAGAAAGGCCTATAGAAACTGCCTGGTTATAAAAATCCGTCACGTCCTAGCGCAGGTTATTAATCCGTTATACCATTAGCATTATTATCCGAATAAACTGTTTGCCTAAGCATTAGCTAATACAGATACAACACGACACCTTGAGAGGAAGAAATTATGCATGCCAAGATGACGCGAAAGGTTTGTTGCCGTTAGTCCAGGATTCACAGTGTAGACATTCACATCGGTCCCTGGAAACGATGAATAAAACCAATAAATAACCATCGACGACACGTGACTGTCACAAGCTATGTTACGGGCAGACCTACGCACACAAACTGTCACGAAACAAGAACAGGGAGGTACAAGATAACATATGAACCGCAGCATGGCTTCATGAAGATATATACATGAATACTCCATCTTAGGGCTAGACCGACACTCATTCACTAACCCCAACACTGACTGACCAGTAAGGGCCAAAACTTTTCCGATCCTAAAAGCTCATGGCATTCCCACTCCCCTTTTGTATTACCCTTTGCCGTTTATCTTTATATTTTAAACATATTTTTAATACAGCACTACTGGGGAATTAGAGCATAGACCCATTTTAAAAACCAGAGTCAGTAATGTACTGAAAAAGTATGAATGTTTTTGATTGCTTGGTGAGCTAGTCTTACACCAGTCTGTATTTTCCTGTATGGTAATTATCCGTAGACCATGAATTAATTAGTTCTCGCGAGAATATGGTTTCTTTAGCAGTATACAAGTTAACCATAATGTCAGAGCACCTGATTCTCCAAACCAAAGGACATCTATTAATTGGTAAACTCTTACCTCTTTACCTCTAAACTATTTAGAAATAAGTGCTTTAGATGCTAACACATAGCTACCTCGCAAACGGTTCCTTAGCCCAACACTAAAGAGCAAGATGGCTAATTTGCTCTGGTTGTACGCCTGCCCTGGGTTGTACTTTTTTTCACCATTCAAGTCATCGAAGTTGATGTTGCCCGCCATGTGACCTTTGCACGTAACATTGATGATGCGACTGTGATGTGCCTTGCTTGTCGACGACTTTATCTTATCCAACAGTAGGTTGGTCAGGTAGAAATGACCTAGCGTGGTGAAAAACAAGCAGTCGCAATAGAATTCCCCTCCACTTCATGATGCACGCTGATAAATATTATTGTATACAGTATTTTATTAGTGGCAATTTCTGACCTTTAAACTTCGACCTTAACCTTTAAATTTCTGCGCTTTTAATAAGACTAGCTACCAAATTTCACAGTACAAATAACAAACTTGCAATGTACCGAGATGGTTGACTCCTAATTGCATCTCAAACCCATCTTCTGTTAGTTGCTTTGGACACCGCATCACTCCTGCATTGTTCACCAATACATCCACTCTGTCTTCCTCTAAAACAACATTGAAACAATGTAAAAAAAAACAAAAAAAGATAATATCCAAAACTAAATCATTCTTGAACTGCACGAGAACTTCAGAAATATGGCAACAAGAGCCGCAGAGCGGCTGGGCTCATCTGGGTGCTAGTGAGTGCTAAGAGTGCTAAGAGCTAAGAGTGCTAATCTAAGTAACTTAAGTAACTTAAGCTAAGTAACTTAAACTAAGTAACTTAAGCTAAGTAACTTAAACGAAGTAACTTAAGCTAAGTAACTTAAACTAAGTAACTTAAGCTAAGTGCTAAGAGTGCTAAGAGTGCTCGTGACTATTCCAACTATTCATAATGTACACTACAGAATCTCATATATAACTCATCTCATTATCTCCTAACTCTCCCCTAATGTAAGTCCATTGGTTCAACAGTAAGAGTTATGGTGTGGCCCAGAAATATCACTGTAAATAAATGGGAAGCGTATATCCCACAACCCACAGGTACTCGCAACAACAGCAGTTGAGCAAAACAAATCAGACTGTTTGACCCGCGTCCTACGACGGGCTGGCAAACGACGAGTGTGGCCGACCTTGTAAACCTAATAACAAGCAGGCGGAAAAAACTACAGCCGCAGACTATCCTCACGCACCACACCCAGCGAGTCGCGGAGGGGCGCAGCCTGCACCTAGCAGTGGCCACGTGGCAGTCGGCATATTAACACACGTGCACCAGTACAGAATGCCATAGAAATTATAATCGATTTAAAGGAGCAATAAACCTCTTGCAAGCCTAAATTTAGCATTTTGAAATTTCAGAGCTGTGAGACATTGTAGCCCATGCATACATCCAGGATGTATAGATTCGTACTAAAGCAACGCCAGCAGTCAGAATTCTTTGCTAAACACAAGTAACAGTTAACGAAAGTCATGTTTAAAAGTCCCTCCTCTGAGGTCTCAAAGGTTATGCCAGACACCTTACATCTTCGCACGTCAGTGGAAAGCACGATTTCATGGTCGTCTTAATCCAATAAAAGCCATAAAAATGGTAGGTGCACCGCCGAAACAGAAAAAAGTTTTTCAAAGTTGCTCCGTAGACCATGTGCCTCTAGATAAATGTCTTAATGAATCTGCCCCTGTGCCGCATTTGACGGGGCTTTGACCATCGACAATTTCGCAGGCAGTGTGGCTTTCTCGCTACCGATCGAAGTGCTATACACCGACTATGGCAGCATTGTCCGACTCCAGCGAGTGGGGCGGCACGAAGGGCATCCTAGGTCGAAGCGCGTTTAGGATTTGTGGCGCGCAATTCTGCATTTCCGCGTTCCTACATAGCTTAAGTTAAGGAGCGTGAATGTTTGCCCCTTATTATTACACCTCTTGACCTTTGACCTTTGACCCCGACAGCTTCGACATCCCAACTGCGTTTTCCGGATTATCCCGGCCGCTGGCCAGCGGCCGCGACGGGTTCCCGATATCGTGACCGTAAACGTCGAGCGGTTAAGATTTGTGCCCCAACTGTTGACGAAAAGTCGGCAGACGAGCGGACGAAGGACGCGGTAAAACGGACGGACGGACCGATCATGGCGATGCTCAAGCAAAGCTGGGGCATTCTGTACATAATGTCAGATGAGGCTAATAATTGGAATAAAGCATAAAATACAATGTTCAAAAATTGAGCTATGGGGTGGCCAAAAAAAGAATATCCTATAAGGTTATTTTTTTTTTTTTTTAAGGCTGCAAAATGTGCTAATACATTCGTGTCATAACACATGACTGGCCATGGTAAATATTATGTAATGTCAGTTAAGCGGTGAATGCACTGGCTAAAACATAGGGAATGTTATATATCTAACAGATATATTAAGCGCACACTGTTTTGTACTTGCTTTCGATGAGCAACATTCACTTAATGGGAGCGATCATTAAACGGTCAGGGTTTTCTCCAAAGACGGCACTGTATAGGCTCTGGCGGCCCGAGCGGCCGAGGCCTATCGTCGCGAGCGCCCGCCATGCTAAAAATGCGACGGGAGCATTGCTGCCGCCAGCTCTAAAATATCATAGCCGCCAGCTCGTGTATACTACACGATATAGTTCCAAAATCATTTAATAATCACGTTGCTTTATACGAAGAGGCGTATGGTACGGCAAGCCGTAATCTTAAATGTCGGCGAGGCTACGGAGGTTAGCGGCAGTACACTATCTAGCAATACGGCTGCGGCGCTGCAGCCGTAATCTAATGTCTCGAGCTACGGTAAACGGCAGTCGCCTATCCGCTAAACCCTAAACACCTAAACACTAACCTCTAAAACCTGACTCGCTATCTTATATAGCGCGTTAATACGTATCCTGCCATTCAATGCTATGGTGTATAACCTTTAGCTTCATACTTTGGCATCTAGAAGCTGACAATCAATCCGCCACCAACACTGGGATGGCTAGCTGCACAATCATGTTCATATTTCATACGTTTCAAGCATCACGGCCAGCGTTTTCTAGGCTCATCAAGAAATGTTTCACAGCCCAACATGGCAGTGTGCTTGGCATAAATTTACACACAGAGTGTCGCCAGATTGCATCTCAAGAGCTTTCTACAATTCAACAAATTTCCGGGGGCATGCATGCATGCGCGCCCCGGAACGCGTCCCTAAGCAACTGACAACAGGACCAACCACATGCTAATAGATGAAAAAGGCTTGGAAGAACCCTAGAACGTGAGACTGAACAGAATCACACATAATGTTCATAGCGGGTCCCACGCAAAAAAGAAAGATGTCTTAAAATAATTAGCATTCGGCCCTTCTCAACATTCTGATGCCGACGGACAGGTTCACACACTGTGGATAGTGCTAGGCAATACGGTAAATGATAGATACTATATTTTCCTACTATATTTAGCTATGACCATTATCACCGCCTACTGTTACTTTAACTCACTTACATCCAAGCAAATTAAAATCACGTAATAGACTGACTCAGAGACGGCTTCAGGATCCAGCACTTCGCGAGCACGGCCACAAAACTAAGTTTGATTTCTAGCCTCCTGATTATCTCCCCTCCTCACATTTGCAGTCGCTCTTCAACAATTTTCTGCAGCCCCATGATGATCGCTTACCAGCCTTTGACAAAAAATTACCTAGAATCAAAACCATCATCGCCATTCTGGGCCCTTCTCCCGTGCATGTCTTCCATAATTGGTGTGCCTTCTGAAAACCCGCCAGGGCGACACCAATGTCAATGATATTTACAATTAACACAGTAATAGCGTACCGAAGATCGATCAGTTCATGATAGACACTTAATAGCCCTCTAAGCTTTTGGCTAGGTGGCTCCAGTATCGCAGTCTCCTTGGCCATTCTGCGGCTAGCTCCAGTGATGACAGATCAGCTGCCTGCCATCTAGTCTTTCGTCTCCCTATATATGGTGGAACGCGACGATAAACAGATCCTGTCATTATTTTACAAAAAATACGAATTTTACTGCTACTGGTGACCGACTATAGAAAATGGTTGGCTCAGTCATATGGTAGACAACATAGACAATCATACAATGGTAGTTATAACAGGGTAACCGTCGGACATTGGTTAGGGCAACTGACAATATGTCTAGTGCTGGCACGAGACACGAGGAGGCAAGCCTGCCTAACGCAATATGTGTTGTGATATGACACTTGAATAAATAGTGAGCTTAGTAAAGAAAGTTGCTGCAATTTTGACATTTTTCGGCATTGTGTACGTGTGCTAATCTACAATAGCCTATAGGGTATGTGTAAACTAAGGTGAAGCAGATGCTGTCAGGGATTCTCACCTACGTTTTGGCAGCAACAGGGGCGCGCGGAAGCGCGTCGCGCGTTTGCGGGAAAGACTCCCCACTGTTCTGAATCGTTCGCGCGCCGCGTTTAAAAATTACGCGCCCTCCGCGCCCGGACCGTTTAAATATCCAAGGCGACTCAAAAGTTTGCGCAGCGAGGGGGAATGCGATCGTCAAGGGAACTTGCAGGTTGATGAGCCCAGGACTATCCGACGCGGTGTATTTTTACACCCGGTACCACCCATCCGCACTGGCAGGAGAGGTACAGCGAAGTTAACCAGTTTCGGCAGCTCTCCGGCCGCCTGACAAATGCAGCAGTGTAACGGCCATGCTCACTAACTGTAGCAACGACTCGCGACTCACGGCGTATCTTTATAATATAGCAAGAACCCGCAAAAATAGCCGTCTATGGTGTGGTGGCGGATTTTACCGGCATTGTAAATGTAGTCGTACGGTAAAAACATACAACGCCCAACCCGCGGGACCCCCTGAGTTTCTCCCGCTCCCACCATCCCCCTGCCCCTCCCCCCCACTCATGTTTGAATTTCAATCGCTGCGGAGAACACCACGCTGTGCTGTGTGATCGTGTCGCAGTCTATAAGTATTTTGGACGCCAATGCCAGGATCTCCGCTTTCTCTCATGTGTAACTATAGCCACAACTACTAGACTAGGCACTAACAGCCTTGACGGGGCGGCCTGCTGCCAGGGATTGGAAGGTAAATATCTAAGTTGTTTTGGCAGGCGCAGGCACAGTAAACATGTATTATTAGCATATAAAACCGATGCGACGCCACGGAGTGAAACTAACGCACCAGAAAGGGATTAAACACTGAGGGGGCAGCTCCCTATATATTGTGCTGGTAGGCTACGGGTTATGTGCCGTGTTTTATATATGCAGCCCCGCGCCTTTTTCCACAAGCTAAATTGTTTCGGCGACCGGAGGACGGAACGCCAGTTTTTTCACATATTTCCCTCAAGCGGAGTATAGGTCCTCTTTTTTTCGGCACAGTGAGAACCGACCGCTCTTTTCACAATATTTCTTCCCAGGTCGCGTGCGCATCATGTCCTGTACTTTTTGTACCGCCACTGTTCCCGGACCCCCGTAGTACCACAGCACTTGAAGCATTCATCGGTCGTGAGTCACCATGCGCATCAAACTGCTCATTACATACAAACTGCTACGTTGAGTTTTTAACCACAGTGCGGCTCGACGAA